CCCCCCCCCCACCCGTCTCTCTTATATTGAAAGTGTTGAGGGTCTAACATGATCGCAGAGCTCGCTGTCTCCAGTGCTGCACGGAGTCGGGCGCCGCTCAGCGCCGGAGCATTTCATACGGAATAGGCAGCGGCACGGCTGAGGCGTGCTCAGGGGTCCCCCGAGGCAGGAGCTGCAGATTCACTGTCCCCGGAGCGGAGCGCTTTACTAAACGGTTATAATGTGCGGGAGCGCCGGTGCGGGATCGCTGCTCCTCTGCCTGATCGCCTTTGTCCAGCAGCCGGCTCACGCTTCGGGGAGCAAAGCCGCTCAAGGTGAGCCCTGCGGGGGGAAGCGGCTCGGCCAGGTGCGCAGCTGGCAGTGTGCTATTCTGGGAGGGATGGGTGGGAAATTAACTTTCAAAGTGATCCGGGAAATGCGCCCGGCAATTTAATACCAGTTTAATGAAGTGCAGGATCTTGGGCGCTCTTTGACTCTCTCACTCTCTCCCCCCCCCTCTCTCTCTCTCAAAGTTAAAGGCTTTAAACGCTTTTAAAATGTTTAAGTAAACTAAAGCTGCCGGGTTTGATCTCAGTGATGATGCTTTCGCCTGAAAATTCCTTCTAACACCTTACACCTTAAAAAGCCTTTAATCGCATCACTTTATGGTGCAGATGAGAAACGAAAGTCTGAAAGGTAAATATCCGGGATGGACCGCCGTTTATGTCTCACCTGTCCCACAAAAATCAAAAAGCTAAATCAAACTTGCATTAGTTTCGTTAAACCCTCACTTCTTTCACGTCATGTTACCGTATTAGGCATATTTTTTTTTACTCTGGAACTTTACAGTGTATGTATCACTGTTAGACAGTATTTGACACCTACTTGTAGAGGTGCTCTCAGGTGGGCAGTAGATTCAGTAATATGGCTGTAATGAAAACCCTACATCGCAAGCCTTGCATTACAATAAAGTTTTGGCTGAATTTTAAGTCGATAGAGTGAAAACATACACAGAGCCAAATAATGTGCTATCTTGGTATTTATGTATCATGGTGTGCACAACAGCAATAATAATAATAATAATAATAATAATAATAATAATTATTATTATTATTATTATTATTATAGCAAGAGTAACAATAATAACAGACAACAACAACGATGGTGATGATGATAATAATAGTAGTAGTAATAATTGGTGTTGCTTTTGTTTTGATAGTATTGTTTGTTAGTCTGAATTGCACAGTGAAAGTCAGCAAAGGGTCTCTCTCTTCCTCTGTCTTTCTTTCTCTCTGTTACTCTCTTTCTCTCTCTCCCTGGTTGATTGTGGAAAGGCATGTTCAGTGGTGTCACGCTGAGACACACAAAAAGACACAGAGAAGCAGAGGAGGGGGTAAAAATGACTATTTTGCACCCTGGGTGGTCCTGCTCCTACTTGTGGGAAAAACTAATATTTACCTTTTGCAAGGAGACGTCTTTTAATTTGCGAAACATTGATTGCACGCCTTTTGATGTCTGGAGTCTGGAAGGTGACCATGACATCAATCGATGTGTGGGGACGATGGCACAGTGACTGGCTGGTTGGCACCCGGACCGAGATTGGCAGAGAAACACACCTTTGCTGCCAGGCCTGGCCTGGCCGTCCCCTCTGGTGGCACAGGTCCTGTCCAGATGATTATCTAGGAGTCCATCAGACACTGTGGCATGTCCAGCCAGATACAAAGACTCTGATGGGCATTTGGCATCGGTCAGAAGAATGACCGGGGGTGGATTGTGGAAACATAGTGAGTGCGAGTATGTCACGGCTTCAGGGGACAGGGTGGGGGTGGGGAGTGCCCGGGACAGCGAGGGAGATTAACGGGAAGTCAGCTCATGATGGCGGCGTTTATTTAACACAGATGTAGCTGAGAATCGTCATCATCCATCAGCAGCGAAGCCTTAATTACAGATCAGTGTTGGAAGCATTGAAACATGAAGGGGAGTAAGAGATGGGGGGTGTGTTTCGGAGGTGGGGGGCTCGGACTCCCTGGTTGTGTTCCGGAGCTGCCCTGCCACCGGTGGGCCAACAAGGTGACAGGCAGACATGATGTCATTCAGTCCCTGTTCCCTCGGTGGCCGGGGGAGAGCGCCCCCTGGGGGTGGATGCCAGAGGTGTCCAGGCAGCGGGGTGGGAGTCTGAATTTCCCTATTTGCAGTTCTGGGAAAGCCTGCAGGCAGGGCTGCACCCTCAGGTGGTGCCTGGGGGGGGGCTCACATTTTGAGGGGAGGAGGGATCTGGAGCCAGCAGGATTTGGTTTTCCAGGCCTGGTACCCCCTCACACTTGGGGAGGGACACAACCAGTCCTCTTACAGCGTGACACCGATGTGCTTTAGACTAACAAAGCTCTCACAGTCCCTCATTTGCTAGCTGAACACTAGCTGGCTTTGGCTGTTTGAGCCTCTGGGGAAGGTTGCTGCTCCTCCACAGAGGCGATCCTGTCGAGTACCATGACCCTCCTCTCAGCACCTACGTCTGTCCTTCTCACCAGTCACTGCGGGGAACAGATGAGCTCCTGCACATGGCGTGTTACGATCTGCCTGTCCAGTTTGTGTGTAACCTGTGTGCGTGTGTCCTGTTTGTGTGTAACCTGTGTGCTTGTGTCCTGTTTGTGTGTAACCTGTGTGCGTGCGTCCTGTTTGTGTGTAACCTGTGTGCGTGCGTCCTGTTTGTGTG